CCAATCTAAACCTCCCCTGGCGCAACTTGAGGCCGTTTCCTCTCGTCCTATCGCTTGTTACTGAGAAGAGGACGACACCCCCCACCTTACTACAACCTCCTTGTAGACTAGTTGTAGAGAGTGATAAGGTCTCCCCTCAGCATCCTCTTCTCCGGGCTAAACAACCCCAGTTCCCTCAGCTGCTCCTCATAAGACTTGTGCTCTAGACCCTTCACCCTTCAGTTTAAAGCCATTACCCCTTGTCCTATCACTACATGCCCTTGTAAAAAGTCCCTCTGCAGCTTTCTTGTAGGCCCCTTTCAGGTACTGGAAGGCTGCAATAAGGTCTCTCCGGAGCCTTCTCTTATCCAGGCTGAACAATCCCAACTATCTCAGCCTGTTTTCATAGGAGAGGTGCTCCAGCTCTCTGATCATCTTTGTGGCCCTCCTCTGGACTCGCTCTAACACGTCTATGTCCTTCTTATGTTGGGGGCCCCAGAGCTGAACGCAGTACTCCAGGTGGGGTCTCACAAGAGTGGAGTAGAGGGGGAGAATCACCTCCCTCGACCTGCTGGCCACGCTTCTTTTGATGCAGCAAAAGATACAGTGATGCAGGATACGGTTGGCTGTCTGGGCTCAAACGCACATTGCCTGGTCAGACAATAATAACCTCGCCATATTATTATTTTTTAACTACAGTACTACTTCTAATCCCAAGGACAACATCTAGCCTTTTGGTTGGTGATGAAATGGAATTTACTGTTGCGGTGTACCGCAGTTAGCAGTTTTCACAGACTCTCTGGATGGATGTTAGTCCTCAATTAGGATCGTGCAAAAGGGAGTCCTAAGCAACAAAAAGTAGATTGAGTCAGAATTTCCAGTGGAGGGCTCTAATGATTTTCAGGGCGTTATAAACTGGTTATGCAAATACATAATTGTGCTGCTCCTTTAGGCTGGGTTGAAATGAGAGATTGTTCCTTTGGGGTGGCGGAGAACTGTGAGCCATCATACTTCAGCACTACAGGATTCAATAGATCAGCTGCTTTTGTGCCCGCTGCCACAGTGATCTCCGTTGGGTACTCCCTGATTTCAGTGCTAGTGCGTGCATGTGGAAGTCATTGTCAGATCAGGGCTTTAATAACCAGGAATCTCTTTCAAGTGGCTAATTTCAAGTGGCTCTGAATTTCAGATTTGCAGCCAAAATATCAGAAAAGAAAAATTACCTAGGTGGTAGGTTGTAGGAGAACATCTCAGTAACTAGTGTTACCCAGCAAATAGATGGTTTAATGTCTTCAAAACATATCATTTCTTTGTATAGCTATCTCCTTTGCAAAACAGGTGTTTCTGTGATTTCTTTTTAAAGATGCACAAAGTAAAAAGGAATTTTTTTTGTATGACGTGTTTATACTTAGATCACAAAGGCTAGATAATTTAAACTGTGTATTATTCTTAACTGTATTTATTAAAGCTCTAGGCATATGTCTTGCTCTGAACTATGCTCTGTTTTGTAAAACAATGTATAGTAGTCTTTACACTTGAGTAACAAAACAGCACACTCTAAAAATAGTCCTGCAAAACATGGAGAAATGTCTCATCAGCTGCTGGTGGTGTGTTCCATGTGCTGGCACAACACTAATTTCCAGGGCTGTTTTGTAATTGTTCAGTCTTTGAGGAGTTATTTTACTGGTTTGACTGAGCACGTGCTTTATGCTTGACTTGAACAGTATAAGAACGTGTTCATTTTTAACTGTTTCGCTGAACAGAGATACAGGGAAGACCTCAATCCCCCAAAGACTTAAGGAAGGTACCAAAGTCCTTGCAAGTGAATGCTGTGCGTAGGCCCTGACCCTGCAGTCACCTAGATGAATGGTTAATTTCACACATTTTTGAATAAACCTGTTGAGACCCATGGGGATACTCAACATGTGAATTCATAAATCTGTGCTGCGTTTGGGCTTTGGGCTGTAGTTAAACGCGACAGAACTCTGCAGCAATGTTACTTGAAAGGACTTCCATCCTGGTGGCGTGGCACACTGCCCCTCACTCAGCCAGGCTGACTCTGGGGGACTGCTAGCCAGACCGAGGGACTGAGCTAGCCTCTGATGGGGAAGAAACAACATTGCGACCCCAAAACAGCTGCGCTGGCACGACTTCAATGGCTGTGTGAGGAGGGAGGGATGGAGGACTTCTTTAGCTGAAGATGACAATCCCTTCCTCCAAAAAAGGTATGTAGAGCTATATACTAGTTTATCGAAACAATTTCAACTCTGCTGCGCTCAGATTTTGAGAGGCTGTTCCCTATGGGCTGAAGTCTTAGGTTAAAATGCTTTCAGTTGTATTTAACAGGTACAGGTTGTAAGGATATTGAACTGTGTTTTGGGTTCTACTTTTTGAGGCTGCTGCTGTTGTTTATTTATTTATTTATTTGACTAGCTTTTGCACTGCAGTGGCTCGGGTACGGGATGACGACAATGTTGGAGGTGCCAGGCTGAGTCCTTCCTTCCATCGATTGTGGGAGGGAGTTCGTTACTCCTGGTGTGCTGATGTCTCCTTCTTTGCGAATGTGCAGCATTTCAGTTCCTTCCAGCTATGAATTTGTTGGACAAAAAGATTTGCTTTTCTTTCTTAACAACCCTAAAGGTCCCCCAAGTTGTGAATAAACTGTGTGTTTTGTTAGTATTGGGTGTCAATATCCATTAGTCTGGAAATGAGCAAGACTGACAAAATTTTGTCTGTAGAAATGTGAGTGACCAGTAGGTAGAGCCAAGTTTAAATATGACTGCAGGGTTGGTTTGTTTTTTAGTGCTGGCTATTGTGAATTTTATCCATTTATCATCGTGTTGAATAAAAATAGATTCTGCTTTAAAGTGAGAAATGCTGATTGCTTCATCTTTTACATCTCCGTGAAGAAATGCTCCATTTATTGGTTGGAAGGATAGGCATCCCTGCTGGGACAGCACTCCTATCTCTTGTGAGGGTAATGAAAATGGATCATTAGGAGAACAAATTAGAACTTTTATTTTGAAAACAGTGCCCTTCTCAACTTGAACATGTAATTTTTTTCATTTCATGGGAATGTGGGTTGTACAACATCAGTATTTCCAATCAGCTGCATCAGATGGATATATTCTGCCTACTTTGGTCTAGTAGGGAAGGAGGACACTCACCTGAGTCAGGGACTGAGCCCAACTCCTACAGCATAGTTTTAAGGTGACTTTTTTGTCTGCTTCACTTGCTCTTCAATTTATATGGAATTGAAATTGAAAAGCTTCATCTTTTCTCTCAGGCTCTAAACATCTTGAACATTTATTGTCTTGATTCTGTTATGATCATAGAATCACAGAATTGTTTAGGTAGGAAAAGACCTTTAAGATCATCAAGTCCCACCGTTAACCTAGCACTGCCAAGTCCACCACTAAACCATGTCCCTAAGTGCCACATCTACACGTCTTTTGAATACCTCCAAGGATGGGGACTCAACCACTTCCCTGGGCAGCCTGCTCCAATGTTTAACCACTCTTTCGGTGAAGAAATTTTTCTTCATGTCCAATGTAAACCTCCCCTCGTGCAACTGGAGGCCGTTTCCTCTTGTCGTATCACTTGTTACTTGAGAGAAGAGACAGACACCCACCTCGCTACAACCTCCTTTCAGGTAGTTGTAGAGAGTGATAAGGTCTCCCCTCAGCCTCCTTCTCTCCAACAAGAGAGAAACAACCCCAGTTCCCTCAGCCGCTCCTCATAAGACCCTTGTGCTCTAGACCCTTCACCAGCTTCATTGCCCTTCTCTGGACA